AAAATACAACTCTAGGTTGTTACATCACTCTATTTCTCTACAACAGCAACATCAACCCTTGAACAACAAAACAGTTCAATATGGCCATTACACTTCTTACAGTGGCCTTTTATGTCTATGTAATTGTTGCACACAGTTGGGTAGACCTTTGCTCTTAGGAAGACAAATGTGCATGTGTTTTTGATCGTCTTCCAAATGTCATAATTTATGATATGTGTTGGGTAATTTTATCAATCCAGGATTACCTTAGGGAAAGTTCAAAGCACAGGGGGTTATAGTAATCAGTCGATCAACACCAGTACCAGTTCATAAACAATCAATTTAGACTTTGCAAAGTGGAGAGGAAAAGATACACACCACACAACGGTTGCCAGTTCACCCTCATCAGACAGTCCTCCGAAAGCATTTATTAAGCACACACACAAAAGATTGATGCACACACTAGACCCTCAGGCGGGAAGCTGTAAAAAGGGAGACTAAGCTTTCTCCAGGTGCACTCTAAATCAACAAAGCTGTCTGGACTTTATCAAGGGAGTTTTACTGATAAGAGGTCGTTCCAAGGCTAGGTCTTCCTCCTAAAACCTAGTCCTCCCTGTAAGACCTGCAGGAGCCTGATCTCAACAGAGTAAAATAAATGGATGAAGCTACGTTTAAAAAACACCAGATGTTTAACAGTCAAGACATTATATCAGCTCAATAATGTTAATACCATTTTTTAACTAACAATATGAGTCCAAGTGCCAGGCTTCTAAATTGCGTATTCCCTTTTTTCAGATGAGAACGCTTGTCTTTGTACTTGACTTTTTCAGGAATAAATTGAACCCATTCCTCAACAAATATTTCCAGCAGAAATTCCTGACTGTAATTTTCCCTTGGAGAAATGCGACCAGCATCTTAAATCTGGGTCCGAAAAACGCTCACTATCATTGTCCTGATTACTGAGTTCCAGAGCTGTTAAACTTAGCAGGGATTTTGCAGACATCTTGTGTTGTGGCTGCTGACTCAGCTCTGATCAGTGTCAGCTGGGGTTACTATTTTTCCATTGTGGACACTGGCGTTTCTGGAATTGCAGAGAACTTCAAAAATGGACTCCTTCTCCACTGATGGCTTCCAGGGCATCTAGTTGAAGAATTAAAAACAATTATTTATTAAAACCATTAACCAAGGGTTCTTTTAATATAACAGCATCGCGGCAAAATGGCAGTCTGGTGCCACGCCAAAGTTACCGTACATACTGGCACTAGTGGTTGTAGTCATGTCTATGATTGTAAATATAATGCCAAAAAATGCACCATCTTATCTTGTCCAGAAATTTTACTAATCCACGAGCTGCAAAAGTTCAGTGACGAGACCTTTTCTTCCAAAAAAAGTTATTTAGCAGTTTTCAATAAAGTAAACAAAGACTCCCCACGACGCTGGTGACATCTAGCCTGGCCTGCCAGACTCGTCCTCTGTTTAATTCTGCACAGAGAAAGAGTCTGGTAACTCACAGGCAGAGAGGCACTTGAGGGGCGGGACTAGCCAGCTTAAAAATAATCAATCAGAAAAAAGACGGAAATGTCGACTGTATCGCGCGACGCTGTAGTTTTTTAGCTGTAGTCAAAAATGGCGTCTGGCGACAGTGCAAACAACTTTTTTTTTTTTTTTTTAGAAGAAATGCTTTTGGCGCTTCTGCTTGTGTTTTTAAAGACGTGTCCACGTCATTTAAAACAGAGGAAAGAGCCGCAGCGAACTTCGGTTCAGTCGCCATGTTCGACAAACTCTGCGTTATGGTGTGTGACGTACGCTACTCGGCGCTGATTGGCTTCTTGAACTCTCATCCCCAGAATTTTAATAAAAACCCCTTCACAACACTCATACTCCGGGACACACACACACACACACACACACACACACACACACACACACACACTCTGTCCTACTGGTGATTAAAGCATGCATCAGCCTCTCCGTATTGGCTCGAGAGAGAATGGGGCAGACTTATACACCAGTACCTGTTGACAACATAATTGGGAGAAAATCACTGAAGACAGGTTTGAAACAGCTCATGATTCATTTGTGCGTTCAGATGGATCACAAGAAATAAAAACAGGGAAAAACATGTTTTTCTTTAGTTGTACCACAGTTAGGAATTTTTTCAAGGGAAAGAAAGCCAGATTATGATATCGGGATATACGGTGGAAAATTCTATCGGTCTACCGTGGCTTGAACAAAAAATTAAAAAGGGAATAATGTTCAGATTCTTTCTTTGCTTTATACTCAGTTAAGTCGATGTCTACAAGAAGCAGACCACATGTATTCAATAACATACTGTATAATAATCCTTGTCCAGACTGAAAAAAAACATCTATAGGTAAGATTTCATTGTGCTCTGACACATACAGTGGTGGAGGGAAATCAGATGGTGGACTATTATGCAAAGAAGTAATTAAAGCAGAGGTCAATTACAGACATGCAATTCTCTTTATATGAAAATAAAACTATTATTAATTCACAGATCATGTTGAAATGGGAACATCAGTGTTAGACAAAACAGAGGAGATGGAATCTTTTTGAAAATCAGAACAAAGAAGGGAAATGAAATAATGTAAGTCTGAATAGTAAAGATCAAAAGATAATATCACGGGTAAGAATGGGTCAGACTGGACTCAGTACACATTTGAAAGCACCCGCCTGGTTTGTGTGAGTGCAGAACAGATAGCAAATAACATGTTACACCGTTTCTCTATTGATTAGAATATTCTGATAAAACTTGAAAACATCTGGAAGGAATGTGGAGATGGAGGTTTGTAAATAATTGGTTGAGTTGAGAAGTTAGGACGTTGAAACTTGTAATAAAATTTTTGAAACAAAGTGGATGGTTATAGATAATTTAGTTGTTTTGTTTTATCTCTTACGTTCTGAACCATACTCCAGCACTGTAGATGGCGCAGATGCACCTGGAAGTTAGATGCTACCCACCATTAAACAGAAGATAATCAAACGTTAAAGTTTCGTGATTGAAAGAGAGGGAATGTCCCGGAGGATTTTCATTTCCAGGTGCAGAAACATTGTTAATGACTGTACACGAAGGCTGAGGATGGATGATGCGATACCAGGTGTGCAACAGTTGACGTTAAGGTATGATTGTATTTATAAAGACATCCAGTAATTTGCACACACTGCAATGTCCAGTTGTTAGTATAAATCAATATAACTGATTGCCGACGTGTAATATTTTAGTTCTTCACTGTAGAATTTTAGCCTAGAAATCTAGACATTCTGTAGTACAATTGACAATATTTTTATCTGCAGGTCGGTCTAGCATATCGGATTAGATTTGTGCCAGTAGGATCAAGAAAAACACTTTGAAGATCAAACAAATATTAAGACATTGAGAAAAAAAATTGTTTCAAAAGAAAAAGTTTTTCTTGATCTTATTGGCACAAATCTAATCCCATACAAACCAACTACATGTTGACAGGCATGCCAACAGAGTTGTGCAATGACGTTTCTAAATTATTTAAAACCATTTTTATTTGGTGGATTTTAAAGAGGCTGTAAGCTAACCTAGCAAAACCACAATGCTAAGCAGCATTTTTGCCCTTGATGTAATCTGATCAAATTCAAATGCAAGTCTGGCGATGCAACTAAATCATTCATTCTATTCATCTTACAGAGCACAAACACTATTCTCTATTCACACCTATGTTCACAATAGCTTGTAATGGCTAACGTAGCTTAGCTCACACAGATGTTAATGCCTGCCAACATACAAATGGGGACAGTGTATCAATCCGTCAGCCCTATAAAACATCTGAAATGGTCTAAAGTAATAGCTGTCTCGTTATAACCAGACTGCAAACTGCAGGTTTAACTTTTACTTCAGAGGAAAGATCACCATAGAGAGCCTAAGTCTCCTCCCTTTCTGGTCGGCTAAAGAGCCCCTAACGAAAAAATAAAAGAGCTATTTTCTAATCCACTTTGCCTCACGCCCTGGACCACACATATGTTGTACTGCAATTTAAATGAAAACTAATGATGGGTGTTTCGACCACGCCAGTCACGTACTTTGAGATTAGCCTATGTCCTCTCCTCTCTCCTCTAGCGTAGCTGTTACTTACCAAATGCCCAGATTTATGGTGGTCCTTTCCCCCTGAAGGAAGGATTTGAAGTTTGCTGAATTTACAGCCATTTTCCCTCTGTTTTTCTCTGCTTCTGGTTCGATGATTTCACTTTCGTGAAGCACATTTGTACTCCTGGACTTATTTTCACACTTAACCTAAAATAGCATTTCCCCCTGTTCGAAAATAAGTGCGTTCTTGGTATCAAAGTGCTTCTTTAAAATTCACGGACATCATATGTGAAATCCATTGCACAAAGCAATACTTTGATGTTGGCCAATATACCTTTATTTGTCCATATAATTTGTTTTGATAGTTCTATTGAGATAGAGGGTTCATTACCATGGATGGGTGTTATTTTAATATCATTTACTTTGAAGAAAGTTAGTGTTTGCACGCTGTAAAGAAGCCGATTCTGTGGTGTAATGCGCCCTCTTGTGACCAAATTCAGTAATTACTTTGTCATGTTCCAGTTAAAAATGTCCCTCTTTTTTGTTACATTTGCTACTCTATAGAATGTCACCGTTAACAACAGGAGATAAAGTTACATAAATGACTGAACAAGCAAACAAATTAACTAAATAAATAACCCTGCTTAGGGCAATAATAACTGGGCTTAAACGTTTGTATGTTATAAAAAGTTTTCATGTGTCTGTAATTTATTGTATTAGCCCCAAACCTGCTTTTATTATCTTTTTTATTGTATCTCCTGTGATAATTATATTTAAAAACTAATGGTTGGGCTCTTCTCCTGAGTGTTTGTTGGTAACAAACGTTTTTAACAGTCCAGCCATGACAGCTCTTCCACTGGCCGTTACAATCTAACATGAAGCGCAGGTGTTTTGACTCATCAGGTGACTGAACAGGTATCTGATCACACTGAGGATTCAGACATCACCTGGCCAGACCTGGCCCCTAAACCGGCCAGGCGCACTTTTTTTTAGAGTTACGGTGTTAACCGGAAGTGCTGCTCCAGCTGGCCTCTGTCGCCATCTTGTGGCACACACGAGTTTAACTTCTGCTCATAACTGGGAAACTTGTTCAGGTTGACCGCTCGGCTGCAGCGAACCGCTCGGGTTAGCGGGGAAGGGGTCGGTGCGTTTTCACCTTTTACCAAGAAGGTCGAGCGGAGCGGCGACGGAGCTCGGTCCCGCCCCCGCTGGCTGTCACTGTCGTTGCTGCCGCGCGCCGGTTCCTGGTCGCGCGCGCTCCCCTTCACCTCACGAAGCTTCCTTCCACACAACCCCCGCTACCATGAGCGACTACTTCAGCCTGTCCAACTGCGACGTCATCGGCTTTGACCTGGACCACACGCTGTGCCGCTACCATCTGAAGGAGACCTCCAGGGTGAGTTATCCTGGGCGCGTGCCCCTCTGCTCTCGTGCACGGTGGCGCGTGGGTCACCTGCTGTAGCCGCCGCCGCGCGTGGCTGTCACCCTTATGTTTCTGCCGACATAATGAGTAGCGGATGGCTGCGGTTGATGTGCGGGTAAAGCAATGCACGCAGCGCTGCAGTGGTTCAGGTAACCGCTCGCGGGAAACGCCGAATGTCCGTGCGGTCTGAGTGTGAATTGACAAATCCTGTCACACCAGGAGTCACGGTCACTGCAGCTGTGCTGTGTGGTCACACGCACGCGCACCCCCCTCGTCTAGCATTTGTTGTGAGGACTGATTTCCATTCATTTCAGTGACTGGATGGGTGTAGATGTCATGTCCTGCATTCTGGTGCATTTACACAGGTTGCACCTACAGTGGTAAAACCTTAACTACTACTCAGTAACTATTTATTCACCACAAACCTCCAGCTGCAGAAAATACTAAAACTTTAAAAATAGACACTTCCAATGACATTTTGATTGCGTGTTTATTTTATTCTTGTTGATAGAATAGCAGCAGGTGACTGACTTAGAACTTAATGAACCATTTTAACAGATTGGATATGTATTCCAGATATCCACAAATCTGTTGTTTCAAGTACATTTTAATATTCCAGATATCCATGGTAACATTCTTAATATCCACGCCAAACACTTCAGATTTTGGACAAATGATGTCACATCTCCCATGTATGGCAGGGCCGGATTTAGGAGGATGTGGGCCCATGGGCTTCAGTCAATTTAGGTGGCCCCTTTTTTCAAAATTGTTGCACACACACACACACACACACACACACACACACACACACACACACACACACACACTACAAATATCCTTGAATGAATAGATTTGCATTTTATAGAAAAAATGGTATTTCAACTTTGGCTTCTGAAAGCTGTGAATCAATAATCTAACATTAGGTAGTCATTTACACATTTTACATTTTATTACAGTTCAAATTCTGCTTTTGCCGTCAAATTACTTAAGCAAAAATAAACAAAAGGCAAAAGCGTACTTATCTGCCACTAATGGGCCATTCCCATCTGTACCGGGTCGGCCCGGGCCGGGTAGCCCCAGTCGGCCCCAGCCTGGCCCGGTTGACTCCACACATCCTTGCCTTAAGCCCATGTGGGCTGATTCTACCCACCAATCAGAGGCTTGCTCTAATGGAAGGTGTGAATTTGCTGTCAGCAGTGGGCGTGTTGGCCCTGGTGGGCCTGAAGCAGACCCCCTCGAGAAGAGGGCTGAGAATGAGCCTTGGTTGGCCCGGAAAAATACCAGGCCACCCAGATATGTAAACAACCTACGCTACCCGGCCCGGGCCGACCCGGTACAGATGGGAATGGCCCATAAGATAGAAGACTGCCTGATCCATCTTTTGCTTTGAGCACAACCAAGCTCTTTCACTCATTTGTCAGAGTTTTTAAAACCCATCAGCATTTTGAAAACATGCTTACTTTTCCTCTACAAGATCACTGAAGTCCAGCCTTCTCGCAATATCACTCTCAGTGGACATTAGAGTTACACTATTCAGTCTTTCTCGTCCCACTGTGGATCTGAGTCTGTTCTTCACTATTTTAGGCTTAGAGAATGATCTCTCACCACTTGCATTTGTGACAGGGAGTGTCAGGTAAAACCATCGACATATACATATGTGGACAATTGGTTTCCATAGAACCCAATAACACGTTTTGGAAGAGAAATGGGAGGTGGCTACCACCGCCATTTTGACCGTGTCACAGGTTCCGTCAAGCCCAGACAATTCCACAAAAGGGAAGAGAGGTGGAGCTGAGGGTGGGGCTGTAAGGCTGGGATCAACCGACGACACCAGGTCGAACTAGCTACAAGCTAACCTGAAGCTAATCCACAGCTAACGCGGATGTGGGAGCTAAGCTAATGGAGGTAGCTACCTAGCTACAACCGGAGCTAACTCTGTGGAACACCAGCGACCTGAAGCTCACACGGAGTTTGTGTGGAGGTTTGCGGCACTTTTTCATGAAAACTATCTTTCTGTGAATAAAAAAGTATTAAATCGGTAAGTTTACAAGTTATTTCCTTAATGAAAATATATTTTCCTTTGAGCAAGTTTTCAATATTTTTAAGGTACCGTATTTTCCGGACTATAAGTCGCACCAGCCATAAAAAGTATAATGAAGAAAAAACATATAAGTCGCACATAAGTCACATTTTGGGGTGAAATTTTATTATTTTTCTTACAAAATCTGAGACCAAGCATTTCACATTGCAAGACAAGTACCGGTAACAATAACAGAATAAACAACGCGGGCGCAACAGCGCGCCACGGTCTCCAGTAGAGGATGGCGGTGTTTGAAACCCTCCCAGCGGGACAGGGGAGCTCATTCCTGGTCCGGAGCCGGCCCGCAGCAGCGCGGTATAGCCTACATAATTTGGTATATAAGTCGTTCCAGAGTATAAGTCGCAGGACCGGCCAGACAATGAAAAAAAGTGTGACTTATAGTCTGGAAAATATGGTAGTTATTAGTATTTGAGATAAATTAGCAGGCTAAATACATTTCATATATTTCTAAAACGTAATACTTGTTTGTATCTTGTACAGCCAAGTAGCCTTTATTCTGGACTCAGTACTATTCACCAAAAGAGACATTATACAGATGAAGTAAGCACAAGATAACTTACTGGAAGAAACTGAATTATCATGAGAACCAGAACAAGAGAGCCTGATAACAGTCATGTGAAAATAATAATTAAAAAGTATGTTTGTATAATAGAAATAAACATATATTAGAATTAGTGTAACTCACTGTGATCCAAACAATAAATCAGCCATAGCTGATTAGCAATCATGAAATGAGGTCTGGGAGTTTTTAAGTTTCATTCTTTTATTACATTTTTTTTCTGAGATCTGTTAAAAGGTCACCATGGCAGCCTGTGTGTCTTCAACGTCGGCAACACAACGCAGCAAGTGTACGTACCAAGTACCTGTCTTGACCACTTCATGTATGGTTTTGTACTTTAAACAGCTAGGCCAAACCTGTTATTTTTTATCCATAGCCATTTGGATCATTGGAGACAGCTACGTGAGGCGTGGTGCCCAGAGAGCTGCAGAGACCCTCGGAGACTACCTTGGCCTCCCTGACATCCGTGTCTCCTGGTTCGGTTGGGGCGGACTGAGGTGGAAAGACCTTCTCCCCTTCTTTCTCCACTCCCTGTGAGGAGGAGCAGCTCCTGATGTCCTTCTCATCCACTGTGGCGGCAATGACATGGGGGCGGTCAGCAGTGTGAAGCTGGTCAACATGACGGAGGACCTGCACCAACTTCACCTTCTACACCCTCATATGATGATCATCATGTCATCGATCACCCAAAGGTGTAGATGGAGGGCAGGTGTAAAACCTGCTAAAATTGAGAAGGCCAGGTTTGTTAACAGTGTTATGGCTATATTTATTTCTAGCTTCAATGGTGCCGTTGTGCATCCTTACATCACATCCTCCTGTACCGACACTTTGTGTCCTGTTATTTTATAAAATGTGATGTAAAAAAATAAATGTTTTTGCTCAATTACTGGAATTTCTTTGGTTAAGACAAAAAGGAAGAATCATTTATACCTAGTTGTTTCTACAACAGGCCCATTTTAAGTCCAACAGTTTCTTAGCAGCCAATAGAAATGTGTTCTTTACTAACTTAATAAACCTTAGAGGCTGCCGTATTGCAAAACCCAATCATACTTGTTATGTAAATATTAGCTTTGTAGATATTTGTAGATATTTTTTACAGATAGATATTTGTGTGCTAAAAAAAACATGAACTTATGTCACGGCTGCCAGCCTGAAGAGGGCAAAAAGCAGCCACGATCACCCAGCTCTGGTGATTGACTGGACACCGCCCCTCCTCCTCCTCTCTCCCAGGCTGCTGAGGAGCACAGCTGAGCTGAATCCTCCTGATGAGCCACACCTAGGATAAAAAGGCTGTGGCTTCAGCAGTCTGGGAGGCAGCAGTGCAGGGGTTCTGCTGTTCTCCAGGCCTCATTTTGTTTTCAACCCCTTTGGGTTGAAGAGTTTTAACTTTTATAGTTAAACTCTTGAGTGATCCAGAGGGATCGTGTTAAAGGTTAACTCTGTGATACAATTTTATTGACTTCGTTTTTAAAACACCTGTTCCGGTAAAACTTTTAACATAAGTTTTAACCAGGTGTTTTATGTCAATGAATTGTTTTAGAACTTTTATCAACTTTGTGGATTTAGAAACACCTTCTGTTTTGGTGAAACTTTTAATACGTTTTAACCAGGTGTTTTTAATGTTGGTAACTGCTCTTTTAATGTTAACCTTTTTGAGAGTATTTTTGTTTAGCATTATCTTAATAATGCTCGCCATCTGTTTACATTTGTTTTTACAACAGTTTATCACAATTAAACCCATTTTAAATCCACTATCGCAATTTTTATGTTATCCCCATCCTTCACATTTTACCATCTCATGTCAGGGACGTAACAACTTAAATCATTTGTCATTATGGAAAAACAACAAAATACAGGTATACAGAAAGTGTGGGAAAATGATAATGTGAAAGTATTGCTCTTTAATTGTAATACTATTTATCTTTAAAAAGAAAAACTCTAAAAATGTCCTGTACAGCAACATGACAGACGAATGGTGGTCTGTCTGTCAGAATGTGCTGAACAGACTAGCTCTATCAAGAGGAGCCTTTTGTGTACGAGTTTGTTATTGTAATATTGGTTTGGGTTATGTAACGCCACATCAGCATGTAAGTGCTGAACCAATCTGGAATAAAGAGGGTTGATAGAGGACAAACAAGTAAGTAAAAGAGAAAAATAAAAACAACCTTGAGTCAGCTCCTCTAAATCTGAGACCATGGTCTTGATTCAGAAAAGGGTAGAATGCCTTCTCCGGGTCAGGGATGAGGTCCTTCCCCAAGTGGAGGAGTTTAAATGTCGCTGGGTCTTGTTCACGAGTGACGGAAAACTGGAGCG